GGACTCGCCCTTATCGTCCGAGGTTATAAGTAGCGCGAACCGGGATACGGCTGGCTCATCGGATTACGTGGACAGCACTGATTAGACCGTTTCGATGGCACTTGTGTGGACTAAAGGGGGCCACAACCGGATGTTCTTCATGCTGCAACGGGCATCCCTCGACGCGACCTCCGCAATTAGTTTTCTTTTGCGGATGGCCATGCCGAGTCGCTTGAGATGGAGAAGGATACGTGAGACTGACTAGCCTGGTTGGCCAGTTGTCCCCACGAGGTGCATGTCAGTAGGAAGACCTGCATTGTTCTGGAATTCAGATGAACCGAAGTGTGTTTGGGCTTACTGTGCTGTCCTTCTGAATGTCATTTCTTTGGCCATTGTTCGTTGTCTTGATGTTGTCTTCTGCTCTTGACTGTCCCAAAAAGACACATGTGCGCATAATAAGATTCCTTTCCGCTAGCCAAAAGCTCTTCATCCAGTTGAAGCGGGCGAAGCCCGTTTAGGCGTTGTGGTCGGGAAGAACGTGGATTGGGTCCGCACCACACCACACGGATAGTGCTTAGATGTCTTGATCAATGCCATACAGGCCGAGACGCGCATAAACGTTCAGCAACTTCCCTGCACGAGTGAACTCAACCATACCAGCTACGTCATACCTGAAACCAACGCACATCCGAAGCTTGTGGCATCTTGTGGGTGAACATCAAGGCGAAGACCACGCGTTTACAGATGGCCATGGGGTTTAGAGGAGTAGCTTTAAAACCGGCATGCGCGTTCGGTCCGCTTCATGAACACAGGCTCTCGCTCAACGCCTCCTCCCAAGTCAGACCACAATCGTCGCCGTCATCATTTCCGGAGTCGATATGTTGTACAAGAGCATCTCACATGCCATCGCGCTGTACAGGCTGGAGCAGTCCGCTAAACAATGCAAAGAGATATACAGCGGAAAGCCCAAGCCAGAGAAGGTCACTCTTCTCTGGCATCTGGTGACCCTCTCCCGATTCAATAAATACAGCCCTCTCTTCACCACATTTGCGGGAGGTAAGTCATGAAATCGTACGGACAGACTTGACATTGCTGAGCATGCGATAGTCTGGTCTGTCCTGCTTGCTGGAGCGTCCGAGCTTGTCGACCCGAACACAACCATACAGCCCGCCTTCATCTTCCGACAAGCTGCGCTATGTTTCCTCGCCGCCTATCTTTTTTGCGGTGCGGGCATGGTGTGGAATGACTGGGTTGATCGGGACATAGACGCGAAGGTTACGCGAACAAAGGACCGGCCACTGGCTTCTGGCACCGTTACCACGGTGGATGCCATGCTATGGATGGCCCTCCAACTGCTCATGTCTCTGGCTGTTGTGCACAATATGCTTGACGGAAAAGATGTGTACGTTGCCGATACTTCCCATTCACATCTCCCCAATCAAGGGGTACCGTAGCTGATAGACGAGTACAGGTTCCGCCACATGTTCCCGGTCGTCGTCGCATCAATCATATACCCATACGGCAAGCGGCCCATGGCACTGAAGCTTCGAATCTATCCCCAGTACATTCTGGGCTTCACCATCGCGTGGCCCGCAGTTCTTGGACGATCAGCGATCCACGGGCGGTACGAATCGATCGGCGACAGCATCGGTTACTGTCTGCCTCTTTGTTGCATGGTGTTCTTTTGGATCATCTATCTGAACACAGCCTACAGCTACCAAGACGTCATCGATGACCAGAAGATCAACGTCAATTCCTTCTACACGGTCGCGGGACGGCACTTTCACAGGTTTCTCTTGGTGCTCATCAGCCCCATCCTGATGTGTATGCCTCTGTACCTCCTCAGGTTCGGCTCATTGTGGCTCTGGTTCAGCTGGATGGGAGTGTGGACAGCATCTTTTGCCGCCCAACTGGTACACTTTGACCCTGATCGCCCAGCGAGCGGAGGAGGTGTGCATAGGAGCAATTTTTTCTTGGGAGTGTGGACAGTTGCTGCTTGCGGTGTCCAAGTGCTTCTTAGTGAGAAGAAAGCTTTGAGGATTCAAGCATAGCATTGTCGGCGGAAATGGAGAATCAATATCGGGGAATTGCTAGCCTGTCAGGCAATTGAATAGTTGCAGATCATACCACAGTAGACCAGCAAATTCAATATCACAATTGCGATGTCACTATACTTCGATAATTTGTAGATCGCATTGCACAGATGGCCACCAACCCACCACGTGTGGCCAATTAATTCCTCAGTACACAAGCAACAGACCGCACCTGTTCCGCAACTATGTCCGAGTTTCATTACACAGCTTTCGAACGATGTTGTAGCACCACCCTACACAGGGAGTCCAGCAGATATTCAAAGATATCGAACAATAACAAACATGACTTTGATATTATGCGGCTGTCCCACAGGGTCTTATCATGCTTAGCAACTCAAAATTCGAACCCGTACCCTCCTCCTATCCAACCGGTGATACCGAACAAATCCGTAAGCCAACCGAGGAATCCTATTACCCAGCCAAACAATCCCAATGTGAGAAGGTCTGGCATTCCAAACATCCGCTCTTTGAACTTCAGCCCTGGAACATTTTGCTCCAGGGTTCTGGGATCGTTCAGGTAGTAGGAGAATCTCGTTCCCATAAGCTTCAGGGTTGCGTTGAACCAGATGTTGACGGCATAGTATGAGAGCGCCCCGATGGCGTCGAAGCGAATCTCGCCGTGAGTTCCGCGCTGCTGGAAATAGCTTATGATCCGTCGAAACAGGCCGTAGATTTCGTCTTCGGTAAGATAAGGCGTGAGGCCTTCGCAAACGACAATTACCGGCCGGTCCGCGGGGATTTTGTACTCGCTGAGCCACGCGTCATCGTGGATGTTCGGTTGAATCAGCCGGTATTCGCCCTTGCTCGGCTCGGGTTCCTTCATGAGCTTCCGTCGGAGGTCGACCGCTTCCTTCTGGTCCGCGTCGATCCACAAGCGGCCCTCGCCTTGCCACCGGACACGGAGGCTTCGCGAGTCCAGGCCGCAGGCCAGATGAAGCACAGTCGCAGGACCCGGGTGTTTCCTAAGGAACTTTTCGGTGCATATGTCCAGCATGCGGGCGCGCATACACACTGAACTTGTAAGAAGCGACTTGCCCACGCCGTTCCCCGCAGCTCGCTTGAAGTCATACCCCAGGCCCCGAATCTCTGAGGCGAGCTCGACGGCATACTGGTCGCTCAGAACCGGGCGGGAGGACTCGGCATCTAGTGCGCGTGCATAAAGTGTAAGGAGTAGCGTCTCCTCAGCACCACTCAGCGTGATGTTTCCCTTGCCAAGGGTGGAAGACGAGTCTGACGAAGGCATCCTAATGGTAATGTCTTGCTACGAGTGGCAAAGGTGGAGCAGAAGGTAAACAGCACACAGGAATTTGCCAGGAAGAAGCATACCTTGTTTTATGGCAATAATATACCTCGGCAAAGAGTTAGGGAGCGGCAAGGTTTCTGGAGCTACTGGGTCACACATGACGCACTGAGGGCGTCGATAGTCTTTGCCTGTGTGTTGAAACGTCATCTGCACGGCTCGCTTCATCTGATGTTCTCGAACTCCCCACGTGAACGTTGCAAATTGGGCACGTTGCAAATCGGGTACTGAGCTCGCTTCAATGGGACGGATGGTCTAATGGGATCTCGTAAAATACGAGTAAAGTATGAAGCTTCGTTGTCATGATCGTAATGGACTGTTCGCTCTCGCTATCTCGTTCATTGTGAGTGGTTTCCGGCCTGCCTGCAAAGAGGCGATGAGATCCTGTGGCGAATGAGGATCCTCGAAATACTTTGACACAAAAATGGACAGCGTGACAGGTCATCTGTAATGATCCCTGATACGTAGTTCAACCCTCATGGTAGTTCAACTTGTGGTGCTAGACCTCTTATGAGGACTTAGAACGACTATGTTTATTGAAAACAGTGAATATACTAATAGTAATGCATGATCTTGGCACCTCGGGCATAGTACTGACCTCTCTGGTGACAACGCATCATTAATGATGTTACCATGACAAAAATATGTTATCAAAGCAATGTGCGACTTCCACGCTCTAGCTAGCAAAGACGACCCCAACAACGCACCTGAGTCAGGGCTGAAAACAATGCAAAGACGAGATGTTGGTACCCGTGGTTCTGTTGGCATCGGGTTAGAAAGCACTTTTCGAGAAGCGTTTCTTCATTCTGTTATTATCATCCCACTGGAGGCAGTAGGTTGAGGCAGTTGGGGACCAAGAGTGGTCGCAAACGCAACGATAATGGGCCGACGAGCAAAGAAGAAATTACGGCAGCTGAGAGGGCTCGATGTTAGTCCATGTTGCAATTCCCCTGAAGCCGGCTCGATTACTTGCATCGACGGGCTCCACGATACCTGCTCAGCCATGCGCACCCCCTCCCCCCAGCGCCAACTTTATGCTTCGAGTGCGGGCGCGCGATAAGAAACCGCAAACCCGCATGGCTTCCGCCGTATGGGCAAGGTTTACATGGTTTTTCCGCCGAGGGACCGGTGATCTGAGTCGCAGATTGGGCGGAAACCGTGTGAATAGACTCTCAGCAGTCCGGGGATAATTCACAGCTCGATATTAGCATCTTGAGCGATGAAATAGACAGTGATTCTGAGACTGTCGGTTCTTGCCACCAGCTGCTTCTCCCCCCGAGAAATCATCAATGATCAAAGTCACAGGAACCCCTTGCCATCCGCTGCAAGCTTCCCCTCCACCGTTAGCTAGCTAGCTAGCGTTATCAAATGTCGAGGTACGCCGCGGCCCATCGGAATCCCCAAGGTGCGGGCGATGCCCGTCCCGCGGCGCTCCAAGTGGTCCAGGACGAAGGGCTGGTGGGCAGGCTCGCCGGCAAGACCATCCTTGTCACCGGCGTGAATCAGGGTATCGGCCTGGAGACGGCTCGAGCCCTCTACGCGACCGGCGCAACCGTCTATGTGGGCATCAGGAGCATCGAAAAGGGGAAGCGGGCCATCCAATACATCACTCGGTCGTCTCCTCGGCGATGCACCACGCCAGTGAGATCCGGTTTCACGACGTCAACTTTGACGGCGACGGGTCCTTCGAGACATACACCGCCTACGGCCAGTCCAAAACGGCCAACATCTACATGGCCAACGAGATCGAGAGGCGCTACGGGTCCCGGGGTCTCCACGCGCTCTCGCTACATCCGGGGGCCACCCCGACGCACATGACCCAGCAGGAAGCGTTCGATAACGACGCAATCCGGGCCCGTCTGGGAGAGGAGGCCTTCCAAGGAATCGTGCGCGGGCTGAAGAGCCCGCCGCAGGGCGCGGCCACGACGGTCTACGCGGCGCTGAGCAAGGACTGGGAGGGGAAGGGGGGCAGGCATCTGGCCGGTTGCGCCGAGGCAGGCCCAACGCCTGTGGGGTCCGTCCCGTGCTTGATAGGCCCGGGATACGCTCCGTGGGCTTACGATGAAGAGAAGGCGGCCCGGCTGTGGCGGGAGTCGTGTAAGATGGTTGGAGCTGAGGATGGTGCATGATGCTTAGGAGCGTTTGTTTGCAGCGAGGTCCGAGTGCGATGCGTTGAACGGGCCCGAGTCCGAACCAACGTGCGCGTTGCGAATAGGAGATGGTCATCCGAGGTTCAACGTTTGTTGGACAGAGAGTCTTGGACATGATGGTATTAATCAGAAACGCTTGGCTCTGACCTGACGAATAAGCTATGAAGGGGATGTCCGACACTGCGCAGTTTGACAGAGAAGATTACATATGCCTAATGTTCCTGCTCAAAATGGTTTGGTGCGCCAACGTTGGGGGAGTGCACTGGTACGAAAAAGAACATGTAATTAGTTTTGGACCTGTCTCCAGCGCTCTATAGCTCTATCACGAGATCTAGACCCAAAGAAAACCCTCCCATATCTGCGCCAAGCAATGCTCCAGGGTATAACACCGATAATGATGGTACAAACAAACGTTTTTCAACCCGCGAAACTCTCCTCCCCTTTTCTCCAAGTTTTGATTTTTGTTTCCGTCTGTTCAGAGTGGCAACCTAGGCGTCGGACCTGGGAGGCCACTTGACTCTTTTCTCGGCGCGCACGTAGAGGTTGTTCGGCCTGATGAGCTGGAACATGGGGTCGTATTCGATGGGGCCGTCCTGGGCCATGGTGAACTTGTAGCGGTAGACGAGTTTGGGCAGGAAGACCTTGACCTCCTGGAGAGCAAAGTTGAAGCCGATGCACATGCGAGGGCCGGCCGCAAAGGGGATGTAGGAGGCGGCGGGGCGGTTCTTGACCTTGTCCGTGTCCCAGCGGTCGGGATCGAAGCGGGCGGGGTTGTCCCAGACGAGATTGTTATTGTGGATGTGGTGGAGGGCGGGGATGCAGATGGAGTCCTTGGGCAGCTTGTAGCCGCCGGGGAGGATCATGTCGACCTTTGAGGTGCGGGCGGGCTGGTACGAGGGGTTGTGGCGGCGCTGGGTCTCCTTGATGTACTTGTCGAGGAAGGTGAGCTTCTGGGTGAGCTCGGCGTCGACCTGGGTATTTTCTTCGAAGCCGTTGTCGACGAGTTCCTGGAGCAGGCGCTCCTGCATGCCGGGGTAAGCGACAAGGCCGTAGACGAGCCAGGAAAGGAGCGAGGAGGTGGTGGTGAAGCCAGCGCCGGTGGCGACGACGAGGGGCTCCATGATGCGCTCGCGGGGCAGCTTGTTGCCGCGGGAGTCGCTGGCGCGGAGGACATAATCGACCATGTTGTCAGCGCGGACGGCGGCCTCCTGCAGGTCGAGGTCCTCGATGCCCTTGGAGGCGTTCTCGATGGATTCGGCCATCATCTGCTCGATGCGGCGGCGGGCGTCGCGCAGGCGCTGGGGGTCGCCGAAGGGCAGCGCGGCGTACCAGCTGCCCATGGAGGTGATCTTCTTGTTGAGCTCGAGGGACTGGGCGATGCGCAGGACCATCTCGTGGGGGCGGGCGTCGACAGCGGTGAAGTGCTTGAAGTCGATGCCGAGGACGAGCTTGCCGACAGCCTGGGAGCCCAGCTTGAGCATGTAGGGGTAGACGTTCCAGGCCTCGTCCTTCTCATCGAGCTCGTCAAAGACTTTGAAGGCGTCCTCGATGGTAGCCTGCATGGTCGGGGCGTAGTGGCGGACGGCCTTGGGGCCGAGGGCAGGCGGGAGGAACTTGTGGACCTCCTTCCATTCCGGGGTGTCCGTGTCGCCGAGGAAGACGCCGGCCTCCTTGTTCTTGATGGGGTGAAGGGGGTGGCCGGGAATAATGCTCTTGGTGAAGAAGTCGTTCTCGGAGAAGATTATGTTGGCGAGGGCGGGGTCGTTGGTGTGGTAGATGACGGAGCCCATGTTGTTGGTCTTGAAGAGGGGGCCGTACTTTTCAAAGAGGCGCTGGTGGTTGCCCAAGTGGTCGGGGTAGACCTCGAAGTAGTTGCCGATGAAAGGTAGGCCCTTGGGACCGGGCACCTCGCGGACGGCGTGGCCGTCGATGGTGATGGCGACGGGACCCTCGGCGGCAAGGACATCGGCAACTGTCGTCAGAGCCTCATCTCCCGAGACGAAACCGACGCCTGGGATATTTGTTAGTTACCACCGGGGCATGGCAGTGAGGCGTGGAGTGGCTTACCCTTGTGGTCGACGACGGCGAAATGGGAGGCGGCGAGATGCTGGAGGCCCTCCTCGTCGGTCGAGGCGGGGACCTCGAACTCTGTTGTGACTGAAGGGTCTTCGCCCAAAAGGTAGAAGCGTTGTGATGACATGTCGTACTGTATGCTATGCTGTGTGTTTCTGAACAAGGGGAAAAAACGCAGATCTTGAAGCGAGTATGTATTAAATAAAGATGGTATGGAAGTAATAGGTAGTAATACAAACCTTCCAAGCGAAGTAGCTGTGGCCGATGGGGATGCACCCGGTTCACGATATATAAGTAGGTAGGTAGGGGAAAAAAACCAGATGGTAATCTAAATAGTACGTACCCCCACGAGAGATGGCGATATAGGAAGAGGCAAGCTTATCCAATGCGGAGCTAGATGGCGAGTGTCAATTCCTTGGGTGGGGACAGAGGGAAGGAGCTGAGGCGTTTGGCGAAAAAGTGGCCTGCCGAGGCTCATCCCAAGAGCCGCCGGTTGACTGGGGGCCCTATGACTTCATGGGTGTTCAAGTCCGAAAAGAAGCGGGACTGGATGGGAGTGGATGTGTGAAGCATTGATGGCGAGACGGGCTCCGTTGAGGGAGAGGGCGGAGGATAGCCGCGGTCCTGTTAGGCCGGCGCATGGCGTGGCATGGCATGGGGGGGGAAAATAGGAGATAGGGCTCGACAAGGGAGCTCTGCAATGTTCAGAAAGTGACTCTAGGTGCCGAGGCGAGGGCAGGGGGGAGGTAATCGTTCATTATCCGGGATGCCTAGGAACGAAGCCCGCCCTTTTTCTTCTTCTTTTTCTGGCCGGGATTGGGGCCGGTGGGTTTGTCGTTTGGTAGTCTTCTTCGAAGTAGAAGTTATAATAGTGTAAAGACGAAAAAGGACAGGCATGACGATGAACGAGGTTCAGAAAATTTCAAGGGAAGGAGGGGCGGAGTGGGTCATGGTTGGAGGTACGTACTCAGGTGCCGAGGCTGTCACCTGTATAGAGTCGCGCCTTCCAAGTCCCGAAACCCGTCGCCTCGGTTCACTCACTGGTAGGAAGGAAGGAAGGAGCCTATCCAGGAAGGAACCTATCCAGGAAGGAAGCTACGCCCGATTGCCTAGGTACTTAGGTAGGAACGGTTCCTTGGTACCTGTATTTTCCAAGCAGTGGATACACACCCACATTTCTCTCTACCGTCTCTCATCGATCGTGTCACCCTTACTGATAACATAACGCATACATAGTGTAGTACGGATACTCCTGACGCCAACTTATCCCACGCAAATCTAAACCAAATCCTAGCCACTAACCTTCCAGGTGAGATGGCATTTGTAACGAGTACGGTACCTCCGGTATCAATACATCCTTATTGTCAGCTTCCCCTTGGTCTCCGTGAATGGGGATTGCCACCTAGATCTGCCCCTGCACCCTCCGCAAAAAAACAGAACAAGAAAAAAGAAACAGAATAGAATATACACACGTCGTTTGGATAGTGTATTTGGGGTGTGAGATGACGACTCGCTCGTGCCAAGAAAAAAAACAAGGTACCGGTACTTACTCCGTATTGAGGCTTACCTGCTGTTAATCATTAGTTCATCAAATCGGGGCCGCCGGCCTATACCACCGGGTGGAACGGAACGGCCCAGCACCCAATCCCGTCGCCGTGCTTTGTCAGGCGTGCCACACAAGTCCGCAAGTCGCCCCTGGGGGCCTCTTTTCCCATATCACATCTCCATTCCAAGCAATCCCTTAGGCCCCACCCTTCAACCAGCTCTAATACATCGCGTCTTTGACTTACGATGTACGGAGTAGTTGCTACGTAAACAGGGTTTGCGCGATGATGCCCACACTTACTTATCTCGAGCCTCGGCATCTTTTCTTCGGACATTATCCATCCTCTCACATCAATGGCTCGCCGGTCTAGGCCGTCGTCTATTCGTGCTGGGTTTTCACTAATTGTGGATATACATCACTTCACCTGCCGTCAATTCCTGCATGTCGATAAATATTAATCCTGAAACCCGTCCCTCCGGAGATGGGAGAGAGAGAGAGAGAGAGAGAGAGAACAGAAAAGAAAAAGGGGGTCGCATGCTACTAGTGTATAGCCTTGTCTACATCACGATCGACACGATTTTCCCATTTTCTTAACTTTAGATAAAAATAATCTCCCCTATTATATTAACACAAGCTCACTTGAACAGTGTTACGGCAGACCCTTATCCCCCCGCCCCCTTCTTGGTTTCTTTCCTAGTTTTTATTTTTATTTTTTTATTTTTTCAGAGATACCCCCCTTCCAGCACAACGCGACACAACATACCAACCAGACAGAATGGCAACCACAGAAGGTCCCGAGTTCACGGCCAAGGAGGTTGCCGCTCACAGGGAAGCCAACGACTGCTGGATGGTCATCCATGGTGAAGGTGCGCCACCCTTCTCTTTGCATTGCGCCAAACTCTAGAAAAATAGCATCCCACTAACGCCCCCCCCCTAGTCTACGATGTCACAAAGTACGTCCATGACCATCCCGGCGGCGCTGAAGTCCTCATCGAGGCTGCCGGCGTCGACGCCACGGAAGCCTTTGACAACGCGGGCCACTCCGAAGACGCCTACGAGATCATGGCCGAATTCCGCGTCGGCAAGCTCAAAGGTGTGAACAAGCGCTCCGCGCCCAAGGCCGTCCGCCTGGCCCCCAAGTCCGCCCCCGCAGCCGCCCCGGCGTCCTCCGCCGCCCGCGCCGCATCCCAGGCTGCCGCCGCCGCTCTTTTCATCGGCCTTGGCGCCGTTGCCGCCCGCCATGCCGCCTCCACACCGGCTGGCCGGGACGCCCTCGTCGCCATCCAGAGACTCAACCTCCAGCTCCCTTCGTGGCTGTCTTTCGGCGGTAGCGGCGTCCCCGGCGCCAAGCGCTCCGGCTTCGGCTTCCTCGAAGGCTTCGCCGTCGCCTCGGCCTTCTTCGCTGTCGCCGGCTCCCTAGCTGCAAAGGAGGCCTCTAAGCTCCTCCACTACGAGATCACCCCCATGCACTACCGCCCGCACATGAAGCTGCCCAAGGTCGCCAAGCCCAACCCCCTCAACCAGCGCGGCTGGCTCGACCCGGTCTCCTACCACCCGCTGCCGCTCGTCGAAAAGACCCTCCTCGCCCCCAACGTCTACCGCTTCGTCTTCGAGCTGCCCACGCCCACCACCGTCCTCGGCCTGCCCATCGGCCAGCACGTCTCCATCAAGGCCGAGATCGACGGTAAGTCCGTCAGCCGGTCCTACACGCCCACCTCCAACAACTCCGACCTCGGCCGCCTCGAGCTCGTCATCCGCTGCTACCCCGACGGCCTTCTGACGGGCAGGTACCTCGCCAACCTCGAGCCCGGCGCCGAGGTGCTCTTCCGCGGCCCCAAGGGCGCCATGCGCTACAGCCCCAACATGGCCCGCAAGATCGGCATGCTCGCCGGCGGAACCGGCATCACCCCCATGTACCAGCTCATCCGCGCCATCTGCGAGGACGACCGCGACACCACCGAGGTCAGCCTCATCTACGCCAACCGCTCCGAGGCCGACATCCTGCTTCGGGACGAGCTCGAGGCCTTTGCGCGCCGCTACCCCGCGAACCTCAAGCTGCACTACCTCCTCGACACGCCCCCCGACAACTGGGCCCACGGCGTCGGCTACGTCACCAAGGAGATGATGGCCGAGCGCTTCCCCGCCCCCGGCGACGGCGCGCGCGTCATGCTCTGCGGCCCGCCGGGCATGGTCGCGGCGGCCAAGAAGTCGCTGGCGGAACTGGGCTTCGAGAAGCCCGGTGCCATCGCCAAGACGACTGACGCCGTCTTCTGCTTCTGAGGAGTTTACAGTCGGACACCGAAAAAGAAAAAAAAGATACCAATACAAGAAAAGGATTTCCTTTCTTGTCTATTTCTTTTTTTTTCCTTTCATCTTCTGATATTTTATTCATGCGTGTAAGAAATGGCTTGCATTGTAACGGAGTCGCGGGGTGGTGCATGAGGGTCGGTGTCTGGGTTGATGGCATCCATCTGTACATCTGTACCAATGTTGATACCTACCTGTAATACATTACACATTTTCTTTATCATTTGTAGAGATGCAATCCGACAGGCGCTCGAATAAAGAGAATCATACGTCTTACCAGTATAATAGCGCTGTGGTCCGAACACCAGTCATCACTGTTACATCAGGCAATATAGTCCGACAGACTTTCAAACGTGGTTTCTTGGGGTCTGTCTTGGCACAAAGTTTGCGACCTCTTCTAACCCTTCCCTGATGCATGTTTGTTGTGTCAATTTAATTGGATGTTAACTCCTTGTTGTGTAGGCTACGCACAGAGACAGCGTGTTGCCTATATTAAGACGCACGGTATCTTACTTGCATGGCTCATAGTCTGAATTATACAAACAGAACTATCCCCCGTAAAACCTTTGCTACCACGTATCGCTATGATGCCTCGCACCTTTAATCTACATTGGCCAGCGTCTCACGAACTTACACAGTTTGTAGGCTTCGCGCAAAGTAGCCGTCAGCCTGAAGTGAGAGCCGCCTGGTCCGACTCTCAACACAGGGAGGAATGCGCTGCATCGTGGGACGTGTATAGGTAAGTGGCTGTAGCACAATCAAAATACATGGTAGACGAAAGCAGAGAGTCTGATATGTGGAGATCATGGATGCGGATCAATTCCTGGAACTTTTGCTTCAAACTGTCAAATGGAAACCAAACCTCAAGTAGAATAAACCCCGTAGACCCCAGATCTCCTAGAAGTGTCGGTTCTTTGCATCGGCGATTGAATCATCATCACGGTCTTACTAGTTGGCTACTTTGCCTGTATTGACAAGTGGCTTCGTTGTCTTTTGCTAGCTCACCTGCCTCTTTTTGCACTGCTGGATAGCGGGGTTGAGCCATGCGGACTACCAAATTCGGTATGATCAAGTGCATAGCGACATGTTTCAACAAACATGGGTTCTAATGCTTCCCGAAGCCTGTGCCATCTCGGCTCTCGATCGGGTAGCTAACATCTGTAATGCTTTGATAGGCGGCCCAGCGGCTCAACCCTCTTGTATATTACTCCAGCCTTGTGTATCAATAAAACCTCGCCATTAACCTCATCGTTTAGAAAGGGACCCTCTAGATAGCGTTGACATGCTTGAGCACACCGTAGAATTCTTCTCGGCCGCACAACAGGCTATGGATTGTATGTTGGCATTTCGGTCTTGTGTTGTATTACTCCTCCACTAAGGATCCAAGAAACAGCAATTCTCTCACCTCCTTTGAGGACGCAGTCGGGGCCTCCAACTTGTCGGTGCTGTAAAGCGCCTTTCCTTTTCTGTCTCCAGAGTCAGCTGAGCAGCTCGGCCTTATTTCAGCGGGGATATGTGGCAATAAATCGAAATAGATATAAGGGGCAAACGTACAGACTTGGATATGACGGCCCAGCAGACTGCGATTTGCACGAGAAAGACACACAAGATGCGGAGATTCATATCGGGTAAGGGTTTTAGGTCAGATGCGTGCTTTCGAATATAATTAAACAGACTGAAGATGGCGTATGCTAGCAGAATCACCAATGATTTCACACTTCCGTGTTGACGTTCACCTGAGAGCTCGAAGAACTAGCATATTATCCGTGTTGGGGAAGATAAACCCCTTATATGCGCCCGTCAACTGCAATTTACCTAAAACTGTTTGGCTCTTCGATAGACTTTTTCTCCCTTGAGCTAGCGTCTGAGCTTTATAGACCCTATAGGTTCAAATCCTGTCAAGGCCAGGGACAGGCCGTAAATACCCCACCTAAAGGCATACGGCAACCACCTAGACTTTGGAGAGATGTACCCAATTAGAAGGTTAAAGAGTTGTGGCAGTATCCGCCCTAGGGGTTCTGAGTGCAGACCTTCGGGGGCTATAGAGGCTTCCGCTACCTGTGATCTGGGGGGTGTGTCACAAGAACCTTATGTATTTCCACCCTCTGTAATAGCCCTGTCAGGTGCTGTTGCACATGCTGTTTCATATTCACTTGCTTATATATAGGACCTCACTTTTATTACTTCTACTTACTTAGAATTAAGCCTTTTAGACCTGAATCCTCATATGCCCTGCTGTGTGCTCTAACTCGTGACAGATTCTGCTTTGTTGCAGTCTTAAACATTCTGTGGCTAGGTATCGTGGGTTGGGCTCGTTATTACTTCGGGCGGTAACACGATCGACCACTCTATTGGGTCGGCAAGTGAAACATGCCGTCTAGACCATTGTCAGCGACGTGGCGATGCCGTTTGATTCTGGTCAGTTTATGGGACGAAACTGTACAACCATATGTGACAATGAAGGGGCGGAGGTTTGATCGTCCAAATAAAAGCGCGGGATCTCACCTGTCATCATGAAGAACAGTCATCGCTGCGGGGTGGGCTTCAGACTAAAGAAATAAAGTTCACTATGCTTCAGCCTTTCATTTCTGTGAACCAGATACTCCAATTGAACACAATACAGGGGTTGAAATCTAACTTCCTGATTCAAAGTATACGGGCATTAAGGTTTCCGTTCAAGTTACACTACCGCTAGCCAGGAGACTATATCACGTTACAGCTCGAGGTAGCAAGTACCGATACATCCGAAACCTACCAACGCAGTAACAATTTCTATAAATAAAACACTTTAGGAATACCCTGAAAGCCCGGGTCATTATCGGAACTAGTTTTAAATAAAAGAACAAAAGCTGTACGCACCTCGCTTTGGAACCGCTGATAGTTCTTTTCGGCCGTTTCGTCCAAATCTTCTCCGCAAATTATACATCTCCAAGGCTAATCATGATGCCCCGAACTATTCGTGAGCGAGGGCTTTTCAGCTTGCATATGTTTCGACGCGCGAGCCTATAGCAGAGCCTGATTGTCAGTTAACAGGCCATACTAGGTAGACACTCGTATGTAAAATTGAACCGATTCGCGGTTGATAATGATACGCCTTTAAATTCTTCGGGAAACATTGACGTCAGATGACTTAAACAACGAGAAAAAAAAGAAGAAGAAAAGGCCCAAGGATCCACAAGGGATATGAGAACGCGGGTTTGGTGCGGAGATCAACTATTAATGAAGGCAATGAATTTCTCCTAATGAAGTATTTCGACAGATCAATTTGAAGTAGTGGTAAGTTATATTCGAGGAGATGAAACAATAACGCTAATCTTCGAATAAAAGTTAGCAAACATGATGGATTCCACTTAATGCCCCATCCGTGTATTATGAGACTAGACGAAAGGCTTCCACTGCTCTTCACACCAATCCCAGAACTTGGCAGCGTATCCTGTTCCACCCTCCGTTTCCAGCTTCATGGCATCCAGAAGATCTTTCCTCGGACAGTCTCCGTCAGTGCGAATGCGCCCCCAGGGGATGACATAAGCGCCGTTGTTCTCGAGCGATATCTCGGGCGAGAGCCCAGCGAACAACTCGGTGTAACCACCGTGCCTTGTCTCGTACAGGAAGAGAAAGTTGAGGATTTGCATGGCGAGAGCCGGGACCCCGGCATACGAGCCCGCTCTCACGTTGCCCGGGTTTTGGGTAACGCTGACGATGCCTTCGGCGCCATGGCGAGCTGCCATCTCCCGACCAAGCAGCCAATTTCCGGCCTTGGACTGGGCATAGTTGCGTATACGATCCACCGTGCCCTCGTCGAGTAGGCCAAAGTCGACGCCGTGGGTGGGGGAACGCGAGTCGGCAAGGAAGCTCGAGGTCCACACGACGCGGACCGAGCCCTTGGGAGCCTCCGCGACGGCGGCGCGAAGCTGTGGAAGCAGGAGGTGGGTGAAGAGCTGGGCGGCGATGCAGTGCATGCCAATCATAGACTCGAAGCCTTGCTCTGTTCTTGAACCCGCCGGCAGGATCAAAGCGCCCATGCCGGCGTTGTTCCAGAGCACATCGAGCTTGGACTCTTGTTGCGCAAAGGATGCGGCAGCCGACTTGACGACATCAAGATCGTTGAGGTCTAGATGGAGGAACTTGACAGCTCCTGGGTTCTTGAGGGTCGGGCCAGCGTTGGTGATCGTTTCGATTGCCTTCTCGGCTCGTTCCTAGCAAGGGGGGCGCAGATCGTCAGTCTCCGGGAATGAACGGGGAAGTGGGGGTCAGGCCGCCGACGACGGCAAGTTTCCGGCGGGAGTGGGGTATGTCTCGGCATCGCCAAGCTTCAGGAACGTTTAGATTGGTGAGATGACCACTCACCTTGGAGCGCGATGCCATGTAAATGGTGGCGCCTGTAGTGTAGAGGAGCTTGACTAGCTCGAAGCCGACGCCGGTGTTGCCACCCGTAACGATAAAGACACGACCATTCTGCGGCCTGACGTGTTCCTCCGTGAAAGATGGCTTGGGGGGATAGTGCTGCGTGCGCCAGTTACGAAATGTGACAAGTGACATGGTTTCGGTGGCTTGATACAAGGTATTTTGTACGTGAATGTGACTACAGGTATCAAGGAGCAAAACTCGAGAGGTCGAGAAGGATGAAGTGCTAGATAATGCCATGGCATTGTAGGGGAGGACGATGGCGGCTTTATATTTGCAGACATTTACATGACGTCCGACCTTCCCAGCAGACACAGGGCTGATTACTTCCCCTGACGCTTGAAGCTATCATATCCCGCTTGTTGAACCCCATTCGAATGCCCCCGAACTGGGCTAAAAGCGAGGAACAGTTGGTGGCGCCGATTCAGTATCCACAGTAATCTGATGTCAGACGGGGTGCACCTGCTGTTGTGCATTCACCTGCAGCTGGTCCTCTTCTCTCATTGGAGCTTAGAACGAGTCCGTGGTTTTGGGACTTGGAGGCAGGGGTGCTCGTTTGCAACTCCGCTCGTAGTTGAGTGGACATGCAGTTCGAGTATCGCGCAATGATCATCATCACCTTTTTGTTCAATGCGCCCCCCCGATCGCATGCCGTATTCATTCGGGCGCGAACAAGCGCTGTAGGTCTCTGGGAATTACAAATACATCAAGGTGAATGTGCTTGCTTATCGAGTGAGTATGGGTAACGGTGCAACGGGCTACCAGAGTGTGATTGGAAGTTGATAGGATATTAATGTTGAGGAACTACCACAACGTATTATGGATAGCTAGGCTTGCAGGCTCTCAGCGTGACTCAAGTTGCCCCCCCAACTTGAAAGTTTCTTCATCATGCGTTACAAAAAGAGGGACTCAGTGCTCCAGGATAAATGTAATAATACTTTACTATTTTATTCATTAGTAGGGGGCAGAAGAGCACCCACACTTTGGAAAAGGCAGGTTCTACCAACAGAATTATTCACTATCATTTTTCCGGCTTATCAAGACCGTCAAAGCAGTACCTCCGGGTCAACTATGACTTAAAAATAGTTCTTCAGTGAACCACTAGTTTGTAACAGTAGCCTATAATAGAATTCTGTGTTCAGAGATCGGGTGTCAGCTTTCAGTTCGGGTACTAAGAGACAACTAAATAAGACTAGCTACTGTAAAGGATAGTTGTCAACTACATCGCAGTAGTAAGGTTAAGGCGTAAGTCCGTTTTCTATATCAGTGTCTGCCGCGCCGCAACCTCAGCCAGCTAGTTCTAAGCTTACAGCATTGGCATACAGACATGTCTGAGGTGCAGATGCCCATGCCGATGTGTTTGGGGATATGGTTGTCCGGGATGAGGTTTTGGGCTGGGTTTATGACCAGTGACTAGTCATGTTGTCTATTGATAACATTACTACAACTGACCATTAGCCATTTCCGATAGCGGTATTAATTATTACAACGTTACTTGATCTCATTTAATAGTTCATGTCTGGGATTTCAACCTTAAAGTGCTACAAATCAATATAATCGAAACTAATGATGACAACGATGAGTGCACTCAGACACGTATTCGGTATTCACATTGAATATAATGGACTGTTCAGAGGAATGGTGCTATGAGTGGTGAGATCATGCCAAAAGGGTAAGGCACAGCAGACCGCTGTAGAGGAAACAACTCTGCAGCAAAAAGAGGAGTAGGGAGTCTTGAAGAAATCCAGGCTCACCCGCATAGTTATATTTATAATGAAAACCAAACCTAGATGCTGCTTGATGATAGGCGAGTGGACATTTCCAGAAGCCCATCTCCCCATCCAGTTTCACATACTAAAAGAAATCATATGGAGGCTGAAGTGACGAATGGGTAGTCGCGTTTAAATTGCCCATAATGAGATTTGGTTATATGGTTACCCACAAGGTAGTTTGTACACACGCACTATAACGATTGTACAGGTAGAGAACAATATCTACAGGTAAACAAGCCGGATTCTGAAGTAACATCCTACTCCGAGCAAGGTGCCAGAGCGGATTTTCGGTCGCAGTATCATCCTCAAGAGCTAATAACGTCGGAAGTTGAGTATTTGCAGGCCGTCGAGGGACCAGAACCAACCTCGGTGGGCTCTTTGCCGCTGTCGTTGCCCTTGAATTCTGTGCAGATATCGCTGACGCCCTTAGCTGTAACGCTCTTGATGATAGCAGTGTCACCGTAGTTGGAGTTGATGCCTTTGAGCACGATTGCGTTAATACACGATGAAGCATGTGAGGGTTCGATGTCGTGTTGACTTACCTGCAAGGAGCTTTCCAGAGGAGGCGTTGATGTTCTCCAAGATGACGTGACGCTCGAACATCGTCTTGCAGTTGCCGCAGCTGCGGTACAGCTTTCCAAAGGTCTTGACGGAGAAGCCGCTGACGGACAGGGTGCCGGCGCCGTTGTGCTGGAGAACCTTGTCCTCGGCTCCAAAGGCACCGCCAGAGGTGATGGTGGTGGTCTCGCCGGCCTCCTGTTTCTTGATGGTGAAAGCGTCTTCGCAGACGGCAGACCACCAGACGTTTTCGAGGGTGCAGCCACCGTTGCAGTGAACGCCCTCGATCTGGTTGGGGCCGATGATGACGTTGGAGAGCTTGGCGCCCTTCTCGAGGATGAAGACAGCGTCGGCGTCACCGCCTTCGGCCTGGCCGGTGCAGGAAACACCACGATCGAAAGCGACCATGCCACCGTCAAAGGATTTACCGGCGGCAATGGTCTGAGCGGCCTTCAGGACGGAGGTGCCGGAGGAGGCGGGGAGGCCACCGCCGGCAGCATGGGTCTGGAAGCCGCGAGTGCCGTTGCCAGGAAAGCCGGGGGCTGAGGTGATTATGGGACCAGGCCTACGCGTCTTGCCGGGCTTCGTCCTCTTGGGGCCCTTGGCAGATTTAGTCTTGCTAGGCTCCTCTGCGCGGGCCGCGTGGTGGAGGAAGTCGAAGTAGCCGCGCTCGGCATGCGCAACGGCGTGGTCTTGAACGGCGCCGTTGGCGGCGGGGGCGGCAGCGACGCCGAGCACAAGCGTGCCAAGAGCGATGGCGAACGAGTACTTCATTGCGGCTGTATGGTGTGTGTGTGTGTGTCTGGGAAAGAAAACGGCGAAATAGGAGAAGAAAAGGCTTATCTACCCAAGTGAATAATAAAATAGTTCAAGCCTGCTTGAAGGAGTGTGGTGAATAGCGAAGGCTGGTAAAGTGATAGAAAGGAGGCAATGAAATCAGACTAGAGACTCATGGCAGGTGTCTCTAAGCCAAGTTAACTTATATCAAGAGATCTCGGGGTGGATCAAATCATAGCCAGGTCCATAAAATCGCACTACGACTGTCGGGCCCTCCAACGCTATAGAGGATTTGGGAGTTGGTCTAGACCGGGGAACGAGATGTAAATGTTCCAATGCAGATGCTCCGGCTCCTCCTCCGCGACGGGTACAGGATTAATCAAGAGGCGACGCGGAGGAAATGAGAGTGTCGATGCAGGCTTTGAAGATCGCACTAAAGGCCCCAGCCCATCCTGGCTCCGTGAAGGGGGTTGACAAGATTTAGTCAACAGCGCCAACAGCGTGCATGGGTTCGGACGAGTTTCCTTCATCCAAGAGCCCTGCTCCATAGCAGACCGGAGTCAACTCCCGAGTTGGTGGTCCGTACGTGGATATATGACGGCAGGTCATTACCCAAACAGAGGCAAAGAGGGGCTCCGATGGAATCGGGCAGTTCGACTGGGAATCCCATGAAACTACCTGGCCAGGCCCGCCCTCCAATCCGGTATCTTTGGCCACGGAGCTTGAACACAGACAAAACCCATGTCTAAAATAAAGTGATCGACCACGTGGTGGATTCAAGGCGGCCTGGCAGTTCCCGCTGGGCCACTTGCCTATGAGCCAGTCAACAAGTTGGCGACCAATATTGTCCGTCATCATTCACATTCTACACCTGCACACGCCATTAAACTCATCCCACACACCGAGGTCTTGATATCCGGTCCACCCCCTGCCGGGATACAACCGGGGGCGCGCATCTTTATGTCGAACCGATGCCTTGTAGGACGTTTCGAAACAGTTGTGCCCAGCGCCAGGGGCCTCCGGCAAGTTGATGAGGCCAACCACGGCGGACTCAACCATCTGTGGTTCTCCACATAGCCCAGTTTTCCAAAGCGGCGCCAAGACCTTCTCAGACGGGGAAAACAACGTGATGCCTACCGGTATGTTCCCATATTGCTTTTGCCGCGTCGACTGGCGCGGTCGCGAGGGAAGCCCGAAAAAGGATTAGACCAGACCTTGGCGGAATGGACGTGTCAGCCAATCCACGGGGGTAAATCATATCGACGGAACAGTGATCTGGGCCCCTCACTGCTTGCCGCTCGTTTCCTGTTGATCGTTGCCCCTAGGCGCCGCATCACCTCAAATGTTAGCTAGCCGCTCTTGGTCGCAGTGCTCACGTCACATCAAGTCGGAGAATCGCTGGCTTCCTCAGCCCAGTCGCCTCAAAGCCGCTTCAGTTGAGTGTTCTCCGTCTGATGTCTCACTCTACTCCGGATCGTCCTTTTGAATGCGCCCTCAGTTTCTCCGGGGCGGGCCCCATTATAAACCGAAGATTCGGTAAATCATAACATAAAGCTTCGGTATCAGTGCGTTGGGGAACTATACATGACCACATATGCAACAGGGAATGTGCGTCTCAATTCCATACAGATAATACAGCCGCACACTAGGGTGGTGGCAGTCATTCTTAATATCGGGGAGCCGGGCCGGGATGGGTTTGAGCTGTAAAATCCGGGTAAGAATGAAGGAGAATTCAAAATTTCTCTCTTTACGTGGGTGTTCAACCACCTGTCAGTGCTGCTTTCATCGTCCATTCATCCTTCATCCATCTGTCGAAGCCTAGGCGAGCAGTGCGTCCACCGGGCCACCACCCGGAGCCCAGGCCCTCTTGTGGGCAATGGGTCATTTACCGGAGACCGGACGTGTCCCGGCTGCTTATGCGTCCGAATCGGAGCCAAAACAATTCCGTGTGCATAAGACAGGTACTCACACTTCGCCTGTCATTCCTCTGACACCCTAGTTTTCTTCTCAGCAAAACTCGGATTTATGCTGTTGGGGACATAGACGGAGGGCGGCATAACCGCCTTCTCACTGCGACATAGGTACGGGGTACTTGGCGTCCTTTTGTGTTGTCAGCAGGTCGGCTCCATCCAGTTTTGTGGGTTGTGGAATATTAATACCGAATCATTGTCATGTATGTTGATCATAGGAGGGCATGGCCCTGTCTAGGTGTCTTGGACATGCTGTGGTAGGATTCGCGATGCCCCTCCAAGAAGTTCTTGGGCCCTGCCACGGTTGATCTCACTCTTCACTTCTGTTGCCGACTGATATAGATATAATGACCTGATGCAATGGCTCTATTCAAATGGGTATACCTACGCTGAATGCGTTTCCATAGACATCAACTGCCACCGCCACTAGCACGCTTGGATAAATGCAGGCGATGGTCCTATTCCACCAAGAAGGCTACGGTCGCCTTGCAACTCCTACGCCCGAAGAGAAGCAGTGTCGTATCGCCTGCCAGTGCGCAAGCTACACAATAGGAATTGAAAATCTATAAGGCAATAGTAGTCCCTCTTGTTTTCCACTCTGCACATTGTTGTGTCACGTTTCCTAGAGCCTGCAACTAGAATACAGCCTCAATCTATGTCTTCAGCGTATCTGGGGTTTCCATCTTTCTGAGAAATGTCTCCAGATCCTGTAGCTCGATGCCCCGCTCACTATTCAAGGTCGCCTCACTTGGCCATGAGACGCCCTTTCCTGCGCCAAAGATGGCGCGGTACTTGTTCCAAGTGTCTGCCGGGTCCTTCTGGAGGTTTTCCTTCAGCCACTCCGTGTCCCAGTTTTCCCTGACGAACTTGATTTCCGGAAACCTCTGTTCAACCAAGTCCGCGACGCGTTTGTACGAGACTGTGTCTCCGGCGATATACACCACGTTCCGGCCATTTTCGGGGATACCGCGTGGGTCGTAGACAACTTCCGCGGTCATCTTGCCAATATCATCGGGGGTCGTGAGCGTAACCTCAATGTCCCATCCGCCCAGGGCCCGCAACCTCTTCTCTTCAAAGTCCACCACGCCAAAGTCCTCGACAAAGATAAACGTCATGAAAAGGCCCGTGCCGATGATGACCCATGCCACCTCTCTCTGCGCCCTCAGCGCGTCTCTGACATCAAGCATCTCGTCGAAGAGTACTTGCGGGCTCCCTCGCCCGATGATGTCGTAGTCGACGCCGAACTGCCAGGGAATAAAGCGCCGCACCTTTCCGAGCAGGACGGCTTCGCAGATACGTCTCTGTGTGCCTGTTGGCCCCACAAAGCCTGTACAGCTGACGACCGTGTCGTACTTTGCAAATGTGTCTGCGAGATCCTGAACAGAGTCGTTCGCGAGATCGCCTGCTTCGATGGATACGCATTGGGCTTTTAATCTGGCGATCAGTTCGACTTTTTCTGCGTCTGGCGAGTTGATTGTGGAAGGTCGGAGGAGAACAGAGACGGAGGAGTCTATTGGTCGTGAGGGGTGTGCCATGAGAGATCTGAGCACGGCCGTGCCCAGTTCACCAGCTCCGAGAACAAGGACCGCCATTTCGGTACGCTTGGTAGATGGTGTTGGTTACAGTGGTGGTTGTTAGAGGACGTCGCACGGATTATACGACATTGGCAGGGTCTTTGGCCTACTGAGCAACTGACATTGAATGAACACCGTTTTCATACAGCAGGACGAGTACGGTAGATAAGCAGTATCGCGCCAGTGTAGAATCGGATTGATAAACAGAGACCAGGCTTGGAACCCTCCACGGAGCGCCGCCGATCAGTCAGCGCCGACGATGCCGTGGCGTTAAATCCGACAATAGGACAGGGGGAGGAGGCGGTGCGGGGCTGAATGATCGGATGGACCTTCGGCGGGGTAAGGGAGAATACGGTAGTTCATACTTGCTTGGCTTCCGTGGTGTAACCATCGGCGAAGGAAGAAAAGCTGTCATTATATTATGGTAAAAGGCATTCATGTCGTTATATCCAGGCGTTCCCACCCTATGTACCCCAACTTCCCAACGACAAATGCCATGAGACACGCCCTCCCGAGCATCAAGCTCAACGCTGGATATCATCAGAAACATGCCGTCAACGTCTGATCTTCTTGTAGCTCCCCTCACGGCACCCATGGCCGACTTTCTTCTACGACACTCCTCTGCTGAATTACCAACTCCTCGTATGTGTCCGGAAGCCGGGGCCACTGAGGCTGCATCCACTCGTCGTCGGCGGGCACGGCGGGAAAGCCGCTCTTCAGCGTCAAGACGGCGTCCACGGTCTCGGTCGTCTCGTCGTCGTCGACTTCCGAGTCGGCCTCGTCGAGAGGCGTGTAGGACTGAAACGGCTCCTCGCGCCGGACGGCGTCGACGGCGTCCTTGATGACTTCTTCCCACCAGTCCACCTCGTCCCACGATTGACCCTCTTCGTGCTCTAGATCCAGCTCCTTGACTTGGACATGGTCCCGGGTCGCAGACTTGGGCACTGTTTTCTCGTCGTTGTTGTCGTCCGTGCCATCGTCCGCTTCTGATATCTCGGGCTGCGTAGCGCCCGGGGTTCTCCTGCCTGGCTGCATGGCGTGGACGGCCTCGATCGACAAGCCGGTGATGATGGAGACGGCCGTCTCGACGCCCCTCTTGACCGCGAGGGCGCTCAGGAGCAGCTTGAGCGCATGTTCCCAGCGGCCCTGCAGCATGAACATCTTACCCCTGCACCATTCGTATTTGATGAAATTCCGGTGCTGGCTCGGCCGGCCCCAATACTCCCTCTGCAGCTGGGAATACGCAATGAGCGCGTTTGCCTTGTCCTTTGCCAGCTCGTACAGGTACGCGAGGTACTTGAGTATGTTGCGGATCTGCGCCTCGTCCCTGAAGTCGTCGGATGCCGCTCGCTCGATCTCTAGGCACTTGCGGTACTCGTATGCCGCTTCTTCGTGGAGGCCGGCCTGGCGGAGCGTGTGGGCGAGGTTCAGCCGGGTCTCGAGAGTCTGCTCGACCACGCGTGCAACGTCGCTTGCCTCCCGGCGGCACATGTCGCGGAGAATGGAGATCGCCTCGTCCCATCTGCGCAGCGCTTTCAGGGCCGTGACGTGGTCTTCCATGTTTCTCAGCGTCACAGGGCTGCAGGGCCCGAAGCGTGCTTTGTGCTCGTCCAATACCCGCTGGAATCTCCGGCAGAGAGCGACAACCTCCTCGTATCTCTTCAGGCGAAGGCTCGTGAGTCTCGCCAGCTTCAGAGTCCATTCGCCGTTGGCGTAGTGCAGGAGGTCGGCTGCCAGATCCATGTTGCCGATCTCCACCCGGGCTTCCCTATCCCTGCCGCGCTCAGACAGGCACATTGCAATATTATAGTCAATGGCGGCCTTCTCCTCATGACCAAAGACGGGGACTTCCTCGTTCCAATCCCGCGCGATTCGATAAGCCATCTCGGCCTCCTCGTACTTATCCTGGTTGACCAGCATGCTCGCCAGGTCACGCTGGGCTTCGATGGTCGTTACGTGGCGCTTGCCCCTCCTCTTAACCAGCGTCGGCACGAGCTCGCGGAGCAGCTTTTCCCCCTCGGCCCAGCGACTCGTGTAATAGTAAATCTCGCCAAGCTCGACCATGGAATGCACGCAAAAGTCACGCCAAGAACCGGTGAAGAGCGTCCAGCGGAAGGACTTGCCCGGTCGCTCACGGCTTTGACGGAGCAGGCGCTCAGCCAGGTGGGCCAACTCTTCGGCCTCGGCAATGTCGCCTAGATCCTCACGGCGCACGAGGGTGTCGCCGAGCAGCAGGACGGCGCGCATCAGGTAAAAGGTCTGGTCCTCGCTCGTCGGAAGACCCTCGAGGAGCAGTTTGGCCATCCGGAGATGGTGCTGGGCGGCGATCCAGTTCTCCGGGGTTTGGTTGCGATAGGCGTGGCCGACGCTCAACAAGGCCAGGCCCTCGGTCAAGGTCCCCAGGCCCTGCGACTGCTGCAGGGCGATGCCCCCGAGCCTCAGGGCCATGCGCCATTTCCCGCGGACTTTGAGGATCTCTGAGATGCCCAGGAGAGTGAGAATCGAGGCCTTGTCGGTGTTGCGGCTCACCGCCCTCCATCGCGTGGCCTTGATCGGGCGCATGGCGGATGGCTGGGCTGGCTCACCGCGTCGGGGTTGCGTGGTGGGGAAATCGCCCCGGAGGACTCGGCGGTCGCTCTCGTGGTCGCCGTTGTCGTTCCCGTCGTCGCTGCGTTTGTATAAGAGACTGGCAGAAAACCGGTGGCTTCTCAGCCAAGGAAAAAAACGTCGTACACGAACGCCCGACCGGTGAGGAATGCGACCGTTCAGACGAGAGGAGGGCAAAAGTGAGATGTTGGTGAGTCGAATTTTTGATCAGCGACGGGCGAGTTGGGCGAGCCTCGACCAGTAGCCGTTCTCCCTGAGAAGCCACGTCCGGCCACAGACTTTGGAGCTATGGCTGCAAAGTCGCGCGACGGGGAGAGTGGATGAATAAAGGAGGGCAAGGGAGGGAGGTGAAGGAGGCGAACTAGCCCGCCCGCAAGTCACGCAGAGCACCCCTCCGTCCAGCCACCACGTCTGAGCTAGGTACCTAGTGACGGATGTGATGGCGAGCTTCAAAAGGTTATCGGTCTTGGTAGGTAGGTAGGTAGAGAATAAACAGGAGGGTAAGAGAAAGACATCAGGTTCGCTTGCTGCTGCGGCTTGCTCAAAGCCTGAACAGAATGGCGAGCGACATCCCCTTGGCCTTTTTACCTTCGGCCTTCATTTGGGCTCGCAGGCTTTGGGAAACTCTGGGAGGAGAGAGTAAGAGAGAGAGTAAGAGAGAGAGAGAGGGAGAGGGAATATTGTACCGATAAGGTACGGGATGGGGCCGAAGAGGCTGGACCGACCATGTGTGCATATGCGCCATGTGACCATTCAGACCGAAGCACTTATTCCGCAGACCAAGGACATGCCCTTGGACGGACGTGCTTCAGACCAAAGCTATCTAACGCCCAATCACTGAAAACTAGACCATGCGGTAAGACCGGCTGCTGAGGGGATGCCGTGCGGAGGTCTGGGCCGGCGTGGTACCCCGATTGTTGTGCGAAGGGGGGGGGGGGGGGGGGGGGGAATGCAAATGGAGAACATAGCTTTCAAGAGGCGAGCGGGAAGCCTCCGGAAAGGGATCAGCGCTTGACAAGAGGTATCAATAAAAGAGCCTTTATGGCCATGATCAGGGACAGGATTGGGCAAGACATGCCTGACATGGACAAGGTTGGGAGAGACAACCTTGGTGGTGGCGGGAAGAAATGCTTTTGGGACTTCTAGACCAAACATGGCCTCCCCGAGCACCAAAACATTTCAACATTCTTTTACACTAGGTATTCTCCCTTCCTAGCCCCATCCAGCTGTAATATTATCTAAGCACGTTGCAAATCCAGGGGTGTAACAAACTGCGCTATGAGAAGAAGCCCAGACGCACCGTGCCATCCCCCCCCCCCCCCCCCCAACAGTATCGTCTTCGCGCTTTTCCCTCACTCCCTGCAGTGTTCCTAAGAGGATCCTTGCGACGAGCCGTGGGCAATAGCGTTGCAGCACAGTTACATGGGATGCTATTCCATCAGCATGACAAAACAAATGTCAGAAAAAGGAAGCAGACGTCTGTACCGCACGCACACTTGCTTGTTATTATTGAATGTACACAACGGAGTGTGCAGCGGATGCACATCGGGATCCCCAGTCCGACTGGCCTACGTAACGGACCTTAGAGCAAAATCTGAAACAGTCCATCAGCGGGCCCTTGATGGCGGCGCTGAGACTGAGCGCATTCCCGATCCAACCCCTGGGAGCTGCTTACTTCCTTCTTCCCTCTTCCCCCAGACCTCACTAAAGCGCTTATGCGCAGAGAAGTCGACATGTTTTATGACGGTGGCATACGTACTCGGTGTCCTACGATGCTCTGGTTTCCCCTTGACTTAGAAGAAAGGGTATGACGTACAGTCCGTATACTGGCGTGACACCCAACACACGCCACTGTGCCCTACCTACACTATGATCTCCTTTTCCGATTATTGCCCTGTAAGGCCTGTAAGGGGACGTAGAATTCCCGACAGCCGTCGACTGGTTTCTGTATGACCAGTAACATTGTCCGATCTTACCTTATCGTTTGGCTGAAACACGAAATAAGAAACGAAAACACCCAGCCACAGTTTGCACCTCTGCTGCAATCGGCAAGCTTCGGGGGGGGGCTCTGGGTTCTAACCATCCATTTTGTTGATGCCTTGTGATAGTTGCCAGGTGGTGGTCTTACTCGTTTCTGCCAAAATGATGGACGACTGTAGTGGGGGCCGCGGAATTGACTACCACTAACGACGTGAGTCAACCATTTTGAGCCTAAAGGTTGGTTGGTTGGTGGTCGGTATTCTCCCTGGCGACTTTTTTTCCCCCGAGGGCTCCGATGACCGTGCAGAATGAATCGCTGGCCTATTGTTACTTTACAGAATCGAAGGCGTATATTACAAGATGGACTCTACCGTGAATGTGACCATAATCTATGAAGCCAACGAAAGGTGAATGAGACCAGCATCAACCACCTGCGGTCACTTGCAGCTACAAGGCATTATTCTCATACACAACAACAACAACAACCAAACATCGAGACCTCTATGCCTTGTTTAGCTTGCTCTTCTTTGGCATACGCGCTAGCCAGTATATCAGGACTGCCATGCCTATATTGAAAATTGTGTACACCCACAGGAAGCCAAAGTCCCTCCAACGGTTGCCAAATTTGACTTCGATAGCG